ACACCCGTACACTCACACCAACGCCCATACCCATACCTACACCCATCCACACCCACACCCCACACCCACCCACACCCACACCCACCCACACCCACCCACACCCACACCCACACTCGGATTTGTTGATAGTTTCAGAGGATTTAATCGATGCTCAAATCTAATGGATCAATTAAATATTTATTGATTATCTGAACAACTATTGGTTGTCATTCTATATTTACCGACTGTTGTGAAGTTAAAATGTCTTAGTCATTAGAAGTTATTACTCATATAGTTTGAGCATGATGTTATTTAGCGCTTGTCTCTCATGTGAATAGAGTTTGATAATGGTAAGCGTTAAAAGTGCTTTTAGAAGTGAGCAAATGATTGATGTTTTCTTATTAAAAAATGTTGATTCTTCAGATAATAAATGCTTATAATAATGTCAATAGGAAGCTATATATGTCCTTGAGTATATTCCCTATCGAAGAAAGAAGTTCTTTAGTCCATAATAAAGAAAGAGACACTATACATTAAATGAAAATATGTCCCATATATGACGATTTCCAACACACTCTGAAGGCACAACTTGAGTTTATTCTTCATCTTGCCAAGCATATTTGATCGAAAAATAAATAATAACTATTTTTGAATATAATTTAATTTCATAACATTCTCTCAGCATGAGGACAAGACCATCTGCAGATCTATACGTCTCGAGTTAGACTAATCTCAGTCAAATAGCTTCTAAACAATTCCATCTCGATCATCGATCTCTTGACGTATTCTTCAATGTTGAATGACGAAGAAATAATCTGAAGAAAAACAACAATATTTGAAAGTGTGCACTACTAGTTTATGAACAGTGTTCTTTAACACATAGCCATATGCGCAAAAGAAATGACAAATGATAAGCTAATAGTATGTGACATATGTTTATTTAGTGCATAGAATAAAAAGAAAAATATGCACCATTTATGTGAGCTTCTCATATTTGATTTCACACTAACAGGCATAACATAGTTTTTATTAGCGCAAATAGTTTCTTCGGAAGATTCGAAGTAAGTTTTGAAAAATGTATCAAGCTGCAAAAATTTTTAATTCAAATTTGAATAAAAGAGTTCCTTAGGTTTTTGTGAGAAATATCAAAACATTTCAGAATGTTGTCTTCGTTCTATTTCTTGATAAACTATAAAGAGCTTCTTATTTAAATTTGTTCAGACACTTCTATGAAAGTTAGTGCGTAATTATCAATATGACACTCTGACCACTATTTCTGAAAAAAAATTAACTTAGTCGTGTAATTTTGTATATTAGAACTCGATAGATCTTACACATAAGAATAAGAAGCCATGACCGGTTTCGACATTGCTTAAGGGTTGTAGTCAGATGACTTTATTCAAATTCATCATTAATAAAATGACGATGAAACTGCAATCAATTCCTAGAATAGAGAGGACACAGTATCAAAATTGTATGACTAAAGTATGCCATCTGATTTCAACCCTTAAGCAAGGTCGAAATCGACCATGGCTGCTTATTCTTAAGGTGTCTGTAACGGAGAAGAGAGAGGGTACGGAAACCGGAAAGCTTATACTCACTATTGTCTTCGAAAGTTTATGTAAGTTCCACAAAACCAAAGTCGCTTAAACGTTTGTCGTTGGCTATATATATCCCTGAAAAACAAAACCTCTAGTCAATATTTGAGTATATTGTCATTACAAAAACATATTTTTAAAAGAATAATATCATATTCTGAAATTCTGTGAAGTTCTCTATCATCCCTGTATATATTTATGTTTTAGTTTTCAGTTAGACATTGGCAAAATAAATTTTATGCAATGAAGACATCTTCATGTCCAGATTCTCACAGACTTGATTTTGTCACTCTCATCAAAATAAGTTTTTAAAGTTTTTCATCAATATAGAATTAACTTTTAAAAAAAAAAGCAATCATATATTCTTTAAGCACTTGAAATTCTCTTTCTTTCTATATTTTTGTTTACTCTCTTGCACTTATCTATTATTAAAATAATTTAAGAACAATGAAGTCACTTCAACTGACAATTTCGAAAAAAAAAATCCAAATGGTTTTTTGATACTTTTTTTTATTTTCTCCGTTCAAATTAAGATTGATCATCGAGGATATTTGAATATCAATAGAATTATTGTTTAAGCATATGAATATAAGATAAGACGAATATATATATAGAATGATAGAGGATGTGAAGCTCTTGAAGAATGCATCAGTACTTTTGTAGAAACTGATTTCCTTGCTATCTATACTTTGAAAACTCATACACACACAGAATTGCTATTCTTGTCGATTGAGCATCTCTTCATTATGTTCAAATTATTTTGACAATAGATGAGTTCATGACCATAGACAATATATAGAAAGATACAGAATTTCAAGTGCTTAAAGAATATATGATTGCTTTTTTTTTTAAAGTTAATTCTATATTGATGAAAAACTTCAAAAAAACTTATTTTGATGAGAGTGACAAAATCAAGTCTGTGAGAATCTGGACATGAAGATGTCTTCATTGCATAAAATTTATTTTGGCAATGTCTAACTGAAAACTAAAACATAAATATATATAGAGATGATAGACAACTTCACAGGATTTCAGAGTGTGATATTATTCTTTTAAAAATATGTTTTTGTAATGACGATATACTCAGATATCAACTACAGCTTTTGCTTTCCAGGGATATATATGGATGTGACTGGTTTTTCTCCAACTGCAATTTGTGTGAAGAAAGAAAGCACCTTTTCTTTCGTAACATGGGTAAAATACATCATAGAGATATGGCACGTGATTGATTCTGTTTTGTTCTTATGCAATATCTATCTTCTCTCTCTCTCTTATTCATTATTCATCTTGAGGTTCACCGTAGTTTCTTATAACGACATATCAATATTACTACTGTTTCATTACTATATTTGAGCAGTAGCAATTGAAGCTTAACTTTCATTTCTCAACAATAGTTGACCTTTTCTTTTTTGTTTCATAAGTTCTCCTTCCTGAATTCAAAATTTAGAGAAAAAAAACATGATTAACGTGACAGTTCTTATATTTTTGTTTGTCATACATTGTATTCTTTATTCAATTGCTGACAAATTGACAGCATATGACATATGAAACTCAATGTAAGGCGTCATCATTGAGTTTTTCTTTCCACACTAAGACAAGGCTAATCAACTGTCGAATGACACCTATCTATGCAAATATTACAATCCTTTGAAGAGAATGCCACTTTGATCAAGTTGATCGAATGTTTTTTTGAATCCGTATAACTTATCTATGAACTATGTATCGTTGATTACAAGTATAAAGAGTCGTGAAGTACGATAGATTGGCTCTAATTCCAAACAAATACCCGAGTCGTTTTCAAGTAGGTTTCATAAAAGAAAGAGACTGGCTATTTGTGTTTCTGCTTTCCAACGAACGGCTAAAAAGAAAATTGAGGCATATGGTAGTTCAGAAAGAACAAAACCAAACGGTCTGCAATTATGCTATAGAAACTTCTCATTCTGACATAGATCAGAGAGGAACAATGATAGGACAAGACTAGGCATGTACTAATACCAAAACTTTTGGTTTGGGGTACTGGCTTTTGGGATTGTGGCCTTTCTCTTGCGTTATGATAGTGATTATTCTAATAAAGTACATAGTACTATTTGAGAAGAAATTAGTTCTATTGATCACTTATGGGAACTTTTCATCTGAATTAGAGCTATACAGATCATATTTATGAATGAGAGCGTTTCTTTTTGAACTCACATAGGCCAAAAATCAGAATTATAAATTACATTAAATGTTTATATTTTTCTATGATACTTCATTTAAGAAATATATTTTCTCATCTTTTGAAAGCTATTTAGAGATATCATTAATAACTTTTCAAGAGCTATTTGGAGGTACCGTTGGTAACTTTCTGACACTCTCTCGGGACTATATGGACGCACTATTAGTAAATTTCTGAGAAATATTTTCAAGTACCAGTAGTCATTTTTTGAGGCCTATCTCGGTGTATTGTAAGTACTTTTTTGAGAGCAATGTCGAAGTATTCTCAGTAATTTTGTGGGATCTATTTCCGGATACCGATGGTAACCTTCCGAAGGCCTATTGCTGAATATCATTAGCAACTTTGCAAGGACGAATTGACCTCTCCAATGGTCTCATCAAGTTATTGTGGATACCTGCAAATAGCTCTTGAAGAGTTATTAATGATATCTCTAAATAGCTTTCAAAAAATGAGAAAATATATTTCTTAAATGAAGTATCATAGAAAAATATAAACATTTAATGTAATTTACAGTTCTGATTTTTGGCATATTTGAGTTCAAAAAGAAACGCTCTCATTCATAAACATGTTCTGTATAGCTCTAATTCAGATGAAAAATTTCCATAAGTGATCAATAGAGCTAATTCCTTCTCAAATAGTACTATGTTGACAGTTACTTTCACCATAATGATAATTTCTCTTTCCTGATCATATTAGGCAAAGTTGGATAAGCAAAGTGAACTACTTTATTAGAATAATCACTATGCTAACTGAAGAGAAAGACTACAATCCCAAAAGCCAATATTGCCAAACCCAAAAGCTTTCGGTTGGTTTTAGTATTGGCACACGTCTATGTACGAGCCATCCCCTATCTACAAAAAAACAGAAGGAAAACAACTGTTTTTCTATTAAGTTTCTTTCTGAAGGAAGAATGAAAACAAGAGATGAAATTTCTTTTTGATGTATGCTGGTAACTACATATTACAAATTTGTATTTTATTTTTCCTCTAGATGAAAGAGACCTTTTGTGTAATGCTTATTCAGATTAAATTACACAAAATAAATTTATCAAAAGGGTACAGAACGTTCTCTTGATAATTTATTTTTGTAAACAAAACTTGTTTTTGTTGTTATTTTGTTGAAAAGTCGAACTTTTTTTTCAGAAGTATAATTATCGACAGTGTTTATGATTTTGACCATTTTATACGTGTACTTATAACTATTTTAGGATGACTTGGAGTTATCAAGAATATGTTGCTGCTAGCTTAAGTATACATTTTGGTTTGGGTGTTGTAATCGTTGCTGTTTTATTCTATCTTATACGCTGGCGTCCTAGAACATTTTATCGTATGATTGAAGCAATGTTTTCAATTAAACACTGTGAAGCAACACCATGTAACGCCAGGGAATTTATTGATGTATACGGTGTTCAAATTGGCTTGTCAGCAACTACTCTTGGATTTCTACCTGCTTTGGCCTTATTTATTATGGCAACAGCTGTCTTAACAGCTACGTTCATCCTTTTTCTATCAGAACTAATTTTCATTACCCGTTATGTTTCTCCGAATAGTAAATGTCCATCGGACAATGAAATGGACTGCTACACAACTGTTAACGGTACATATCTTTTTTGTAATTCGTCTGACATGAGAATCGATGCGTCACTAGAGAGTCTCGTTTGTTATCGATGGATAAAACAAAATATCGGAACTGTCGATATACTAACTCAAGCTGGTCTATGTGGTGGATTGCTTAAAGCATTCGGGTGGTTCATTAATATATTTTTACGTTTGTTACTCCACGTATTACAGTCAAAGAAGCCAAGTCTACCTGGAAGAGAGATGACTGAAATGAACGTTGTTGATTTTTCATTACGAAAGCAGAATTTGCTCAAGTTGTGTTTTAGGCTACTCCTGGTTACTCTTATTACATTGAGCCCTTGCATAGCTCTCATAATACTAGGTGCAAAGAATATTACTCGCACAGGAATAACGATGGTCATATTAAGCGTCATATTTCTTATATCTGTGTCGGGCCTCTTGCTGTTTCTTACCCGTGAGAGCACAAACTTTAAACATGGTAATATAGTCTCTAACAAAGTCGACACAATTTCTCCATCAGTATCAGAAATGGCACTTCAATCAGTTAGCTTACAAGGTATTCAAAGGATTTAAACCAAAATACGACAATAAAAGAAGCTAGTTTCACCGATTCACTCAAAAATATCACAGATTATGCCGACAATGAACTGAATTGCAAGATCTACAGCGAAAATTGTATCTAACAAACAAAAATTGAAGGAGAAAATCCTATATTTTGGTAACAATAGGAAAACGTTCAAATAAATTATAAGTTATTTTAAAGGCAGAAATTCTTGCTGAGTGTTTCTCAAAAGTAAAACATGAGATAGCAGAATGGTCTACACGTGTCGAAATTTTTGGAGTGTAGGTGCGGGTGTGGGTGTGAATGTTAGTGTGGGTCGATGAAAGTAACACCGATACCGGTACCCACACCTACTTCCACACCCACATCCACACACACCCATGTCCACCTCGATTTTAACAGTGTTTTCTTAGACGTATAAGCTGATCTACATACGAGCTACTAATTCTGGAAATATGTGCATTTCAATAGGAACAGTACATATGTAGAACTATATTTCACCAGCTATTACTGTTATGCTTCGATCTCTATTACATGAAAGAATTCATCTCGATCATGTTTGTTCGTTTATTGTTATCGATATATGCTTCGTCGACCTAAGTTTATTAGATTTTCTAGTCTTTTATTATATAAATAGCATAACAAGAATTTTCTTTCTATTACGTTCTTCACTATATTCCGAGGACAATTGCGTACAATCTTCAGTGAAGAAAGCAAGAGAAAAATCTTCTGATTACAAAACTACATCGTATATATATAGATGTGTATATTCTTGTTAATCTTTCATTCGCGTCGTACCAAATTCATACTTAATAACCTATTTCTTCTTCGAATATGTCTTCATCATCGTCTAATGAAATTATTGGTCGTTGTCTTTGTTGTGAAATCAAAAGTAAAACGGCTCATGAATGTTTAACCGATAAATCATATCAAATCGTATTATGTCATTGTACAAATTGTCATCGTGCTGGAGGCGGATTGGCATCATTAGATTTAATATTACCTGAAGATAAAGTTAATCTATTAGATAATAAATCATTATTAAAAAATATAATGATACAGATACAAAATCAAAAAGTGTATCCGAACGTTATTTTTGTAGTCAATGTGGTAGTCCTGTCTATTCAAAAAGTCCGGAAACTAAACCAAAAAAATTATTATTAAATTAAGTTTATTCATCGGTGAAATCGATTAACTACCGAGGCCAATGAAAGAATTATTTTGTAAAGAAATGATGGATTGGGAAAAGAAGATTGTTGGTGCTGAACATTATGATGAAAGTATGGAATAATCGAAGTTTTCATAAAGCATAAAAGAAGTTTTAAAATTATTTTATGTTTCGTTTTCTTTGATTTTATTAATAACAATATATACATCGTTGTTTTGACGTTACATGAAGGTTTTTTTTTTAATTAGTATAAATTAAATCGTTTTGAGCACTCTTATTGACGGCAAACGGTCTCAAATCAAGAAGAACCAAGAAAAAGAATTGAGAAATTCAATTTTTCAAGAGAAACACTCTTAAATTGATGAGCATTTGGTTTCTTAAAAATTGAGTATTTCTTTCATTAAAAACAGGGTGTTGATGTGAGCGTGACAGAATAGACGATGTACATCCACAGCCACACTCAAGGACTCAGAGATCTCTAGAGACAGTAATCTTGCACCGAATAGTCCGACCTTTTAAGTGAAAAAGATCTTACACTGCGCTTCAGTTATATAGTGATGTATCATGTATTTGACAAAAAGATACGCGGAATTTAGTTAGCAGCTTTTTTTCGGTTCAAAACTTTGCAACAAAAAAGGCTCTAGTCATTGTAATTCTTGTTTTATTTAAGTAATCAGGCTGAGCTCATAAATCTGATCTGCATTCTTGGTAAATTATATGTACAAAAAGTTTCAGATCTCCAGTACCTGTGGTAGCTGAGATCTAGGTTGTTAGGAACTTTTGCAGCTACCGAAGAATCTTAATCGATATGAATGTTTTTGACTCGAGATGTGGAAATCATAAAAGAGATTTTAACTCACTTTCCCAGTAGATTTCAGGAATACTAAGATCTTTGTAAGCAAATTTTGTAGGTCGAAATTTCAATATTCGGTCTTTTATGATATGCATCGAAGTTCAGCGTATTAGATGTGATTTGAGAACAAAGACCTAACATTATAATTCATTTTCAGAGTTCGTCTAATTTTGATAGATCCCATATAATAACTGAAGTCTTATCTCGACTGCTATTTGTTATTTAAGAAGGCGTCATCTAGATCTTCAAGACAAGGATACACAGTCTTTCAAGATCTCAAAACAAAAAGATGCAATATCTCTGTTCATATTGGATGTATGTGTAGTTTTCTATTATTCTAAACTCATATTCACATTGTCAGCAGTCATTCGATCATAGCCATCTCTTTAGAGATAATAATTAGTAGTACCTATTGTTACTGAAGCTATAGTTAGTGTTATGATACTAAACTGATCTAGTCATTCCAAGACTCTACTCAACTGAATATCTGCACTGAAAAACGAGAGTATATTGAAGAACAAATCTTCCCACTATCACCTTCAATCTGACATGTTCATCTTTACTTCATATTCTTATTTTCGATATTTTTGTTTTCTATGTTTTTTCGTCCATTCAAATAAGGCAACATTCTCTTAGTTACTATTTTTATTTTGTTTTGCCTTGAAATTTCTATTATACGTAGAACTTGAAAAGCTCGAATCGTAGATACCACGTAGTTCTTATTTTAAAACATCAATTTAACAGGCCGACATAGTATTTTTAACATGCTTACTCAAAAGACATGTTGAACAGTAAAACTTAGTATTAAACCAACTGCATATGTGTCAGGGTGGATTCAATAGATTGATATGACAGTTTTAGGATTAAGTTTTTATACATGACTTTGTGTATTGCTAAGAATTATGGTAATTAAAGTCTACTATATTGTCTTTGCTTACAAAAAGACATAATATTAAATGATATTTGACACGAGAAAGAACTTGTTATTATCGTCTTTTCGCACAAGTTACTAGGGCAGTTGAAGTTCCCAAGTGGATTAGTAGCTTTTTGGACACTTACTTTTTCTGGATCACATACAGGCATACTGAAGATTTCATTCAGGGTGTTCTCTCGTTTGTGATCCAAATTTTTTGTGACCATTGTATAATCTGAGGTGAGTGCATTTTGGAATTTGAAAATCCAATTTACATGTCAGATATACAGAGAACTGTGTGTATTTTCGCGGTCTTCTCGAAAGAAGCATAGGAACGCCTCTTTTTCTCTGGCTTGATACGCTCGCCTATTTAGATTGAGTTTTTTTTGTTGTTCCTACAGAAAAAATTCTATTCAAAAAAATATGCACTTTTTGGAGTACTCATGTGCTTATTGAGATCTATCTGCCTTGATAATTTCGAATCTTTGTCGGTAATTCGTTCTGCACAAAGAAGAGAGGAGATACTCTTAAATACTCTATACGAATTGAGAAGTCTTTGGGTCATGTTAAATAATAGTTCTAAATAAGAAAATACCGATCTTATCAATTCTTCTTAAGAAATTGTATTCTTATTTGAAGAAATACAACGAGCCAAATGATAGATATGTTATGAATTAATTGATGAAAAACTTTTGAAAGACTTCTTCTTTCATTCTTTGTATTAGCAAATATCGAGGATGATATGTTCAATGAATAAAAACTGGTCTAAATACTAAATTGACTGGTTCTGTTGTGTTGAAAAGAACATCAGTCAGCTTCAATTTTGCTTATAAATGAAAATAACAAAAATATTCATTGTATCCCATTGTTGATTTTTCAGAAAATCGCTCTACAAAATTTGTATCCAGCAAGGAACCGTCATAGGCAAGACAGACTTATCAGGATTGAGCGGTGAATGTGATATAATTTTGTTTAAGTATCAAACATGCACTAATTTTATTAATAAAACTTTAAATCATACATAAAAGTACATTGTCGCACTTAACATTTTCGGAGTAAAATCACTGCGAAAGTACTGAGTACAAGTGTCCAAGTTGATTTAATCGATTTGATACCCATGTTACACTCATTTCTGTCACAACAGCAGACTTCCATTCGTCGATTTTCAATATTTGTCTTATAGCAACCTTTTCTATTGCAATTACCTGGTTTTGCTGGTCCACGAGTAACAAGCCCCGCATTACCATTACCATTCACCGGGCTGATTTTCTGAAATAATAGAAAATTAAAAATATAGGATTTCTCTTGAGAAGCAAAGAATAAATTCTTTATCTTCAGTACCTTTAAGCAAACCTATGCTTTTCACTATGATAAGCCTAATTATCTGCATGCTAAGAAGTTGTAGCCACAAATAAAACTCATAATATAGCCAACAGTGGCAGGTTGTATAAGAAGAGAGCATTAATATTGGAGAGAATTTTAATAAAATTTTCTTGGTCCTGTTAGAGATTTTCAAATAACTCTCTCGTGATCATTTGTGTGTATTAGTAGTCTCGAATGAGCACAATTGCTCCATGGGAACGTAAATGTTTACAGTTGATGAGCAATATGGTTGTCCTTAAGACCTCGATAGTACTCCTGATTGTCTTCATGATGCACTACAATGTATTATTTAAACAATCAGTGTAGTAAAGCATAACAAGACCCACAATGAATGAATCATCATATGCTCTACATCAAAATTTAACATGACATATTTCTTCGGAAAAGTGACATTGAGACTTCCACAATCACTACGTGTCATGAATAATGATTAAAAAAAATCTCTTTCTGGAAGTACTCATAATAGCGGAGTGTAGATGACCCTACTCTTCATCCTCATCCATATCCTTGGCATTACATTATCAATCATTTAGCAATAGAGAAATCCGAACAAGTTGAATGACTTATTTTAAAATACTCTGACTTCCTTATATTTTTACTTACCTCACAGAACCTTTTAAATGATGGAAGTGTTAGTACATTTGGATTGAATGGAGTGAATGGCTGAGGACATGGACGACCTTTATCACCACAAAAGTAGCAGTTGATGTATGAAGGACTTGTTGTCAATGGTCTACTAGTAGATTTTGAAGTTGTTCCTGTTTTAGTTGTAGATTTCGAAGTCGTACTTAGTTTGGTGGTAGTTTTTGAAGTTGTAGTTAGTTTAGTGGTCAGTTTTGAAGTTGAAGTCGTACTTAGTACAGTAGTAGCCTTCGAAGTTGTAGTTAGTCTAGTAGTAGCTTTTGAAGTAGTAGATGGTCCAGTAGTAACTTTTGAAGTCGTAATTAGTTTAGTGGTAAGTTTTGAAGTTGAAGTCGTTCTAGTAGTAGCTTTTGAAGTTGTAGTTGGCCTAGTGGTAAGTTCTGAAGTCGATTTAGTCGTAGCTTTTGAAGTTGTAGTGCTTGATGAGCCACTCGAGGAGACTCGCACGTTATCTGTCAGAATTTGAGCACTGCCAATACAGCAAATCACGAAAACCACTAAAGTGAGCACTTGCATTGCTAATTTCTTTCTAAAGAAGTTCTAAAATGTTTGATAGAATATGCAACAAAATAGCTACATGTATATATACTCTTTCTATTGCTGTTTTTTTACGCAATGTAAAGACGCTAGTCTTGTGCTACTAAAAATTGATAAAACGCAGAAGTCATTATCTATTTGTTGATACACCAACACATATACTATGATATGACACACTATTAGAAGATTATTTTTATTTCCTCTGTACGTTTATTTTCTCTTCGTATTTATTAAAAAAATAAATCTGAGTGTTAGCAAAGCAAAGCAAATGTCGATAAGAACGAAGTGTGTGAAAACATACCAGATGTATGCGTATAACATATTTCTTCATCAACAAAAATTTGGGTGCACTTATATTCGAAGATGAAAAAAGAAGAACCGGAGATAACAATGTTAGAAATACTAATATGAATAAAACAATAAGAAAAAGAAAAATAATCCATAGTGTAATAGCATAAAAAAACAGAAAGAATACGAAAACTTGTAAATTTGAGTGACAAGAAAGATGCAGCAAAAAATAGACTAAATTAAGGCTGGAGGTGAACAATATTACTGTGATGATGATGATGATGATGGCTGATGCAAATCGTGCAGTTACGATGTGTGTTTCATTGTATCAAGACGTTGTAGAACACTCGCTATTATATGCAAGAATAGATGTTTGTTATTGACGTGCATAAAACCGTAATTAGCGTTAAAAAACAATAAGGAGCCGTATTACCCTACAGATTGATACCAGTAACAAGTTCATGATCGACCGTAAATGCTATAGCTAATACCAGTTCTAGTTCAGTAACTTTCAGCACAACGAGCTCTTCGGCATTGTGTGCTCAAAGCGTGGTTGTGGACGAAGGTCTTTTTTTTCATATACACTCACATCTTACAAGCAAAAATCTAACAGACTTTAAAATTCAAAATTTTTGATAAACTTCTTGACAGCATAAAACTGAATTATGTGTAACAGAGAGAAAGAGATTTCTAATTATTTTTTATAATGAATTCGGCAAAACAATAGTTCTTCAATAAAACAGCGGGATAAATCATTCTAGAGATAAGTTAGATTGGCACCCAATGACTATCCATTGTGGTGGTTTATTAACTTTTACAAACCACCTCTTTTTCTATTCTATTATCAGCGATATGATCGATCGTCGTATGTTATAGACTCTTACTGACAATCAAAATATGGTTATTGAAGGAAACTTTAGATATTATACTTTATTCGAAAAGCAAACTATGTGTAATATCATCATCTTCATTCGTCTACTTTCACCTTTTAGCATCTAATGATCTATCCCAAATAAATATTTGAGAAAAGATGATACATTCGTATAGACATTGTCTTGACAAATCCATATTTGTTCATTCAAGCATCTGTTCGTTCGTATCGACTCTATCTCCGAACTTTGCTCGCAAAATTTAATTTGATTCGACTCATCCCTTTTTTTTTTGTTAAACTATATGCAATGAGTCATTAGAATTTGTTATTTTCAGTTTCAATTATATGTTCTTTCGTTTCATGAAAATAAGCACATTCACAATTTTTGGAAGAAGTATTGTACACTCACAGTTTTTTCATACCAAAAACATACAAAGAAGTATTGAAAAAAATTAGATGTTTCCTCTAATTTGATGACTAATTCAAAACATCAGAAAATGTTTGACAATCATTTTGTCAAGAAATATCTGGCTGTTTAAACTCAAATATTATTCATTTCAATCAGTAGTGCACAGAATGAATATCTTTCAGTTTGAAGCGAAATGAACAAATTCATGAAAGAAAGAGATGCAATAATGACCAAGGACATCCGTTGTATAGACTACTTGTCTATTGCTGATCACTAATTGAATGTGAAGTTGAGATCAAAATAACAAAGTAATGAAATATCGAGATGACGAAATGTGGTGACGCATTACTTTAACAAACAACTAACAAAAAAAAAATTACGATTCTATGTTGACAATGCACATTCTGACGTACTCAAAATAATATTTTTTCTGGTGAGAAGAAGCATAGTTAACGCAAGGGGTTGATGTGTATCTATCAGAGATGTGCACCGCTCGAGCGGCCGCTTTATCTTAATTTGACCATTTTGCAAGGAAATATCTCCTGAAGTTGAAATCGACAAACCTAAGCTGGTATTAACATCGTGCAGCAATATTGGTGTCCTGGTTCTCTTAAATAACAATGGTAAATAACGAAATATTGAGTTCGTACTCATATTTAATATGAAGATCGTTTTTAAATTCTATGCGACCCAAGTAGACGCTAAAATGCATGCGATGGGCTCAATGACTGCTCGAAAATGTGAAATATATTTTTTTTCGTTCTGTTCTATCCCTGTCGGAGACTTAGTTTCGACGATTCTTCGATTCATCGATACTTATCGAAATTTTGAGTAGTCGACCAAAAAGTACAATCTTAAGGGTTCAAGCTAATTTTGAGTTAGTAAATTTTGCTTAAAACGAGGGTAATAAATGTTATGTACGGATTGGGTTATCTTGAACGGAAACTATACAGTTTGCATTACTTGCTGACCTTTGTAATTTTCTAAGAAAAATTCTATCAAAAGGATGAAAAATCAAAAACATAAAATTGTAAAAAAACGTTCCTTCCAAACTTAAAAACAAATAATTAAGTTTTTATCTTAACCGGTTAAATTTTTCTTTATCTTTTTTTCGAAAAAATCCGCCGTTAAATTATCAACTTTTGAACACTAACAAAGACTATTAATTTAGCTTTAGAAAAAACATCATATCTAAAAACCTGAATTTGAAAAATTCAAATCCATAATAAATTGTTCAAAACTGATTGTTTAATTTATAAGAATTTTAAATTTCTGAAATTTGATTTTTAAATTCTTTTAAAAGAAAATGATATCCCTAAATATTTTTCATTTAAGAATTTGAATAACTTAAAAAAGATTGTAGAAAAAGAAATACAATTTATATTTGGTTTAGATGTTCGACGGCTTGTAACCGTAAGTGGGTGTGGGTGTGTGGGTGTGGGTGGGTGTGGTGTGGGTGTGTGGGTGTGGGTGTGGGTGTGGGTGGGTGTGGGTGGGTGTGGATAAGGGTGTGGGCGGGTGTGAGTGTGGGTGGGTGTGGGTGCGGTTAACATAGAAGACATCCACACCCACATCCACACCCCACACCCACACCCACACCCTTGTGACTTCTTTCACCCTCGGTCTTTGTGTCTATGCATCATACAATACGCATAAGGTGTGTTCTCCTCTGCTCATTTTTACTTTTCCCTAATATATTTTCACTACTTGCTGTTTGTTCCCTGCTGTTGCATACAAGAGCTATTATACCAGCGTATACGTATACAAACTAGATAGAAAATTCATTCTGAAACTATTAGGGTGTCATTTTAGAGTTGACACCGGTGCACATTAATACTGATTGATATAGTTGCTGATTAGAATAAATTTATTAATGCTAATACGTAGGTATAAGAGTCTTCCTGGTGTTAATATCGATCTCATACCGTTGCATATGACTGTTCATCATCATAGAGAAAAACGAAAAATTTTGAAAACGAGAAGAATAAAGAAAATTATTTCGCATAGAAATCATTCATCTTAATAAACATAATTGGCTTACGTGTTATGAAGAGAAAAAGAACCGTGTAATAAAAAACTAACAGATGGTATTCATGATTTTTAATACTTTCATTCCTAGATGATATTAAACCTTAGAAGCGAAGCAGTGTGTGAATCAGCGTCGTCCATCTTAAAAACGCACATTCACAGCAATCGTTCATTAGATGAAGAAGTTATGGTACATTGGAATGCACCACCTTTACATACGGCTGATTGCATCATCACAAATTCACTCGATAATTATTTTAGTACAATGAAAGATAAAAATTGGTTATTTTATAAAAACAGTGAACAATATCAAGCTTGGAAACTTGTTTCTTCTGGTTCAATTAGTTTAAATCGTTTACGAAAAGTACACATAACAAGATTACCTGAATCAGACCCTATTGAATAGAACACTTTTTGTGTACTCAAAAAGTGAGTGCACGATAGAATCTGTCAGTGCGTCCGACCGACCGGTCGTTTACACGACAACTCTTCAAAGGGTAGTCCAGTTGTAATGAAATTTTGCACACAGAGTCGTCTCATCAATATCTCGGTCAAGTTCGAAGATGAGAATGATTCGTCAAGAAATTGCTGAGTTATCGCAAAAATGTCATTATTTCCTATACTGTTCTATGCGAACATTGACCCAACACAGTTTTCGTAAAAAAATTTGTTCTCTCATAATCAAACAAAGCCTCAGCTATTATATACCATTCAATAGAGAATTTCACGGCCTACAAAATGGTATACAAAACATTAAGAAACAAGAAGGCTAAGTCACCTATTGCAAAGATACTTAAACGGAAATTGCTTCTGTGTTTTTACTTTTTGAAGTACACATAACACTCGGATTTAAATCCTAGGTTTCCATATTTATTTTAATGTGTATTTGCAATATGTTTAATATTAGTAGTTGTTTCTTTTTGAATAAATATCTGAAGCAAGAATCTCATTTTTTTTAATTGAATTTTATAACGGAGGAAATTTTTTCGAAAAATTTTGCCGTTCGGGAAAAATTTTCATTTTACTGGCAGATTCTGCATGCTTGCCACATTAAGAAAGAAATACTTTTCAATAATGAAAACGACAATTTTATACTTTGCATGCAGCAAAATTTATCCAAAAGATTTGCAACATGTCTTCCATCTTGAAATGAGCATTAGTAAAAGAAAAACGAAGCGAAGGAATTGATCAACATATGTTTGACGGGTCGCAATGTCTTAGCGAATTATGCTCTTATTATAGAAAAATTCACTATGAAAAACTTCTGTATGACCTATGAAACAAACATTCTTTGATTGTATGAGTATTGCCTACATTTTTCTTGAATTATTACTATGAGAAGCTTTTGATACGGTATATTTTTTTGCAGAAGAATTAAACTAAGTCTGTGACTAATGGATTTCACCTTTCTAGAATACGACTAGATAAGGATGGCGTCCGCATCTGAGACAAGTCAACTCGATGATGTCGACAGTATATATAAATAAAATCAAAACATTGGAAAAACAACTTAAGAGTCTGATAATCAAATGTGAACAAAGAAATGCAGTCTACAAAGATGCTGATTTGAAAAAAATTCATACGTTACATGCAACAATAAAAAAGCTGAAGTACAAACATTGGTCATTGTTGCGAAAGACTTATGGAAGTCGAAATCAAGAATCAATACTAGATGTTATATCGATACCTCTTCATATAATACTTGATAATGAGGACAATAGAGTCATGCAAATTCATATAGAATCTAACAAAGCATCATTCAAAATGACGCCTACCGGGTTTAAGGTGAATGATCAGCAAGTCGTATTGAAAGATATTGTTTATTCACCAAATACTAACGATAATCAACCATTCGATACTATAGCAGCCTATCGAACATTTACTAATAAAACAAAAGATTTTTGCCAAAAGCCAATAAATATCGCCGAAGATTCAATAGAAACACTCATACTTGTTCTTGATGCTTTCACTTCAAATTCGATGGTAATCTGACTATCACCATGGATAATATGCCATTTGATGATAGTTCTCATCGTTTAGCTTGCGGTATAGGCAATCTTGGTAATGTTCATACGCTTGCCAACAACTATGTACCAATGGTCAAGTTCACGTTCAACATTAACGTCGAGTATGAGAAGAATCTTGCCGAATCAAAGAATACTATGAAAAATTTCGCTTTGAGCTTTTATAGAGATATTTCTTAACTGTTAGCTTGTGAAGAGCACTATATTCGCGTACTTTCTCTGAAAAAATAAAAAAACAATCTGGTGAAACTACAGTTCACTTCGGTATAACCAAACCGAATTTTAAAGAAACATAACAGCTCGCTCATTTATTACAGGTACACTATGCATTGAGTCCTATTTGATGCTTACTTAGACTAGCTCCTACTAAAGTCAAACATTTTATATAATTATCTTAGATTTTGAAGGAAAAATCTATGAACTATTTTCTTTTTCAGGATATGGCCAAAAAAGGTTTTTCTCAAAGATCGGTACTTCAATATGTCAAGCCCGCTTCATATGTTTATGAAGTGGGCTTCGGTTTTATCTTAGTTTCAATTGCAACTAAATGATTTTACTTCAGAATTCAATAAGTATTACGAGAAAGTCGATCATAAGTATTTGGGTGATGCGACCTGGCTTGGTTCTGACAATAATGATGGCGCATGGTCAGTCGTATTTCAAGGAACACACCAAAACAACATAAAGAATGGTTCATTTCAATTTGATGGAATCGAAATGAATGAACCAGGACTCTGTTTAGCCACTCATTGTGACAGTGAATCTCACCCACGATGTACAGAAGTATTTCCTGTTAAAGTATCTGATGAAAATACTGAAAATTATCGAATGGTGTTTCAGTATCGTATTCAATCGAAAATGTTTACCGTTCATGAAAGTTCAATAGAGAAAAGAGAAACATGGCGCTTTGTCGATCCGAATGCTATTCAACCCTATGGCTTATTATTAAAAAAAGAAGAATCATAAGCAAATTATACATAATAAAATCATGGAATGCTGACATGCACATGATTGATATCGTTGTTCTTCTTATGGAATATGTCCATAGCTACTGATTACATATTCAGCAATTGTCTTGTGGAGAAAAGTAGAACTCGCATATGAAAGTACAATGAGCTAAATAAAGAATATATTATTGATTTTCTTCTTGTCTTTTAAAAGCATGAAAAATTCAATTTCTGTTTTTTGCATTGCAGATGATAGGGATGGACCATTCGTTCTATAAATATGCGACAATTGGGTTTATAAACGAAATTATTTGATGTAATATTGATTGGTAAATTCAAAAGTAGATAGGGCGCTAATGAATGTGTAGCGTTGGTAAGGATCTTTTCTCAGCTTATATCTAAGAAAGTACCCACACCCTCTAGAAGGTACGAAGGTCTCCTTGCTCATACCTTTAGTGGGCCTTTAAAAGTGGTTCACAACCGTTCCTTAGAAGGCTCAAAGTTTTCTCAAGAAGACTAATGTTCCTAAAATCTCTGTCTGTTTGTTACATTTCCAAGAAACTTTATTACGAAATCAACTTGAAGAAGGAAAAAAAAATCAAATTTACAACTCCTTCGACATATTATGTTAATTCTTAAAACATCTAATAGTTATATTTCATAGATACAAATATGATTAAGATGTTCTTATTAAAGCAGTTCTTGACAAAGTGAAAGACAATATTTGATTTATTTATTTTTTATGTTTTATCTATTATTGCAATTTACTCAAGATGAAATATAATGATGTTGCCATATCTAATTTGAGTTAAAAAAAAACTAGTTACAAAATCTAGGAAATGTTAAATTCCAATCATTTTTAAAAAATAATTGATCCTTATTATGGACATTTAATTGATGTATTATTTGAAATGTTGATGGTGATTGTTGACTAAACATAATGGATTTTGTTTCTATGTCGACTTTAATTGATGATTGATCTTGAAAATAATATTTTAAATATCTTTTGATTTCTATTCTTGCTGATTGAGGATCATTTTTTTTAATTTCATAAATACTTTCTAATGTTTCATCCCATATTAAACCATCAGGATGTTCAATAGAACCATTATCTTCATTGATCTTTAAAAACAAAAAAGAAAGAAAATTATTAAAAAGATTAGAAAAATCAAATTACTTTTAATGTTATTAATTCATTAATTTCATCTAATATTCTAAAACGAGTAATTGAACTATCTCGTAAATATTTTATTGGAATTCCTTGACAAATTTCCGGAAAACCAAAATCATCGCTTGTCAAACTTAATAAATTACAAAAAAACAAAATGTATTGTATTTTAGAATATATTTTAAAAAATTCTCTTACTATTGATCATTTAAACAAGTTAATGTAAGAATACATGGTGATATTTCATTAAAATGAATTCTAGAAAAAAAAAAAAAATCCTAAAACTTTATTCTTTCTCTAAAATATATGATAACAAACGTCAATGTTGATAATTGTGATGAAGGCCATACAATTGGCCAATATGATGTTGATAAAGATAAACGAAGACGACAACCAGTTGGTAAACATACACAAACACCAGATAATGTTACTTCAACACTTTAGTTTTAGAAAAAAGAAAATATTCTTGTTTTTTTTTTAAAGTACTATTTCAAAAAATACATACTTGTAAATTTCATCAATATTTAGTGGTTGAGGATGTTCATGTGATTTATAATGTGTTAAATTAAGAATTCCACGTGAAATAAGAATTGAAGATGAACTTTTTTCCTCAATCATACAGAGACGAACATATATTAAACCATTTTGACTATTCGAACTTAAATTAAGTTTAACAGTTGGAAATCCAAATAATTCTAAAGATGAATAAAAATTTATTTGAAATATTTTCTATAATAAATACCATAATCATGATTTAATGGAAGAGACTCAAAACATAATGATCTTCCATCATCTTCTCGTTGATCGATTGGATGATCAGGACTGTTAATATTTCCCCATCCAAGTAAATTTCCACTTGATAAACTTGTCTCTTGAGGAGATAAGAATGAAATTTTTTTAGGATTTAAATCATTTAAATTAAATTCAGTTGTTAAACGTTGAAAAGATAAATAATATTTAATTTGTTTTGTATCAATTTGTTGATTTTTATTAATTAAATGATCATTTCTTTGAAAATGTTCATATGGATATGATGGAAGTGAATTAAAATGTATCCATTTTCCTTTTCTGTCTTTTACAATTGAATGAAGTTCATCAATATTTGGATGTAATTGAAATACTGATAGAATTTGTTTGTTACCATAACCATTATCAATACCTTTTATATAATAATCAAGCCATTGAACTAGTTCTTGTAAAAATCCAATTTGTGGTCCAGGATACGCATCATCTCTAAAAAATAAAAATCTTATCAATATAGATTTTATAAAATATACATAAAGATAGAGACGGCCATTGATGTCCCCATGGACCTAAAATAGCTCGTTTTGGACATTCTAACTGATTAATTAAACGAAAAATCGCTGAATTATAAAGATCCGCAAATCCCCCAATTAATAAAACTGGACATGAAATCTTCGAATAATCTTCACATATACTTCCATGACGCCAATATTGATCTCTAAATAAATAAAATATTCATATTAAATTTTGAAATGTGAATTATTCAAACCGATTCTGATGTTTTATCCAATAATAATCTAAAGGTATTAAATTATTTAATCTTTCTTTCCAAATATCAAATAAATGACAATCTTTATCAAGTCCTCCTTGATATAATGGATGAGGAGGAACAGATAACCAAATTAACATTTGAGTTGACCATGATAATGATAAAAAAAAAGAAAAACAAAAAGAAATTCTTTTATTTGAATTGACAATGAATTTTTGAAAGAAAACCTTCTTGTGCTGGTAAACATCCACCATAATAATGAATATCATTATTATAACGATCATCTGTTGAATAAGCAGAAATAATTCCAGATAAATTCTTTAACAAAAGAAAAATAATATTTTTAAATTTAATTTATTTTCAAAATCAAATAAAACTATTCAACTTTAGGTTGAAGAAAACCAATTTGTAATCCATTAAAACCACCCCAAGATTTTCCATAAATAACGACCTTTTAATAGAGAAAAAATAAAAATGAAATAAAAATCTTTCTTAATTACTTTTCCATTCGACCATGTTTGATTTTGAATCCAATCGAGAATTTTTAATCCATCAGATAATTCTTGTTCTGAATATTCATCATCAAATACTCCTTTTGTTTTTATGACAAAAAAAAACTTGAATAAAACATAAGAAAAACAAAAAGAAAAATTACAAACCTTGAGAATTTCCAGTTCCTCGAATATCAACTCTAATCGAAACATATCCGAAACCGGATAAGTATTTTAAACGAATTTCATCTCTTGTTGATCTATTCAAATTAATTTAATGAATTAAAAGATATTATTTGGAAAAATAAAACGAACGTCCAATCTGATTTCCTATATGGTAGATATTCTAAAATACTTGGAAACTTTTCTTCATTTATTGACTGATCATTATCATCTAAGATGAAAGATTTTATTGTAAAATCGTATTAAATAGAATAAAAGCTTTTTTTTCGAACTTCGCGGCATCCATATTGTCGCTGCTAATTGAATATTGTCATCTACAGCAATTGATACTTGTGTTAATTTTTCAACTTTATATGGAAATTCACTACGAATGCGTCGATTAACATCTTTTTTAGATGGTTTCATTCTTTTTAATTTTTATAGTTTATAATAATAAATAAAAAAAGAAAAATGTTTGAGATATATATCGACCAATGCATAATCAAGAAAAGATGTCACTGGTTTTCTGTTGTGTGTGGTTTGGATGGACGTAAATGCTGGTGAGAATGCAGAAAATACCTCTAAGTATCTATACTCACATTCATCAGAGACAGACGTCACATCGATACTTATACTTAGAGGGTCACATCGACATCCATCAAATATCTATATACATAACGTTCAGTGTCTGTCTGTCTGTGTGTCTGTGTCGGGTCAAAGGTCAAATAAGGATATAAGGAGAAGACCCAATGGCTGTTATAATGGGGACTCATAGGCCCTCAAGGACTATCATATAGGGTATCCATAGGTCCTCAAGAGCTATTGCATAGGGATACCTATAAATCCTTCAGGGCTATTATATGGTATATCTCTATAGGAGGGTGTGGGTGTGAGTGTGGGTGTTATTTTTCTTTATAATCACACCCGCACCCACACATCCATACCCACCCACACCCCACCCCCACACCCGACAGTGATCTAACCATTATGATGAAATATTTTGATTTTCTAATCAAATTGATCGAAGAATAAAGAGTGTACTGTATTTTCGGCTTAAGATTACTAGTAATTACTGCAATTACTGATATATTTTTTAGTTATAGGCGAGAAATTTTCGAAATTTTCTGTGATGTTTTTGACTTATATTTAATTGAGCAATAAAATAATTAAAATGAGCAATAATGAAATTTAGCAATAAATATACTGAATGGGCAATAATTCTATTGGATGAGCAATAATCATATTGAATGAGCAGTAATTATATTGAATAGGCAATAATTATATTGAATGAGCAATAAATACACTGAATCAGCAATAATATACTTAAATTAATGGCAAATTTTATATAAAAAGGGGCAATATGGATTCATTTTGTTATGGCACACTCCAAAGATATGCCATAAGAGAGAATTGTGTTATACTATACATGTGTGTTTTCGGTCTGTTCCTTTCTATAGATATGTATCTGCGCCTTTCGTTCTCTTTCTTTCCGTCAGGTAATGAGTTGCACTGGATTTTTTGAACCCGACTAAAGAATCATGAACCATTCTATCATTTCGAATATGGAATGGTTATTCGAATACAAATTTTGTAGAGCAATGTTTGCTCTTTCAGACTATTTGATTAGAACTGCACAAGAACCTTTTAAAATCGAAGGTATTTAAATAAAAAGGTTCGAACCCATACTTGAACTCGGTCAGACCTGAATGTATGGAGTCGGACTTTTTTGTTTAAAACCTTCCGGTTTGAATGACTCTTGTACAGTTCTAATTACATAGTCTGACAGGGCAAAACATTGTTCCACAACTGTGTATTCGAAAAACAGTTTAGTATTTGAGATAATAGAGCGGCCCACAATCCTCTGGTCGAGTTCAAAAAACCCGGTGCAGCTCCCTACTGTCAGATACATTCCCATATTGCTTTCTCTTGGATTCTTCATTTTATATGATCATTCAAATATCTTCCATTCGTATCATATCTATTTCTGGTATATTCTGTCATCTCATATATATAAATATCTACGTGTGTGTGTGATAACAGCGAGATTCTTATTTTTTGGAAATAAACATCATATACACAAGATCATATTACAGATCTAAGACATTTATTTATAGCAATACTTAAGAAAAAGAGGCAGATCATCTGAGGCAAAAAAACTTTATTGACACAATAATATACTATATTTTTCCTTTTTTTATTTTCAAATGTTACTAAAAATAATGTAGTTTTTCTTTTTTTTATTGCTAAAATATGAAATTATTACTGCTATTTAATGAATTAATTATTGTATATTTAATAATATAAAATTGCTCAAATAAAGTTTTTTTTATTGCTCACAAATTATTGTTAAATCGTATTTTAATTATTGCTCATTCCAATATTTTTATTGCTCAAATAAATACTAGCCGATGTTTTTTGTTGACTCAACGGATGCTATGAGTCAAAGAGGTTTAATCAGATACGTCGTTGGTTTTTTCTTTTCTGTCACCGTATAAGTCAGATATGCACACGTGTTGCATGTAGATTTTTTCAATATTGAAATGTGCGTATCGTCAGTCAGAGTAAGTTTTTTTGTTTGCTTGTAAATACACGTCTACATCAAACTCTCAAACAGCGTCTTCACAACTATTCTAAAATCTTTGATAATTATTAAAAACCAGAAATTTCCGATTCATGTTCGCCATTTCTTCAATAAAGTTGTTGAATGACATTTATAAAAACGCCAGTAACATTTGTAATATCAATCAACATGTGAAAGCCAATAAACATCAATGCCAACGTCAGTGAAAAGACCTTTTCATTCTTTTTTTTTAATGCAAATAATTAGTTTTTTTTTACATTAATTTTCTAGGTTTGAGCCAACGAGTGGACTTAATAGTTAGCATATTAAAAAAAGTTTCCATATCTAATTTTAATGATCATGGAATGAGACAAGCTTTAGAAAGTTTAAACGAAACAATTGAAGAAAGTATTGATCTAATAAAAGTCTTTACCAATACCTCAATATTTGGACAATATTGGGATAATACAACTTACCAAAAACGATTTACTCGTCTTAATGATCATTTATTACATCATTCTATTACATTAAATTTAGCATTAAATATCAATTCAATTTTTGATCAGGATCAAGATTTAGTTGATCGACAAGAAGATTTGAATGAAATTTTATCTAGAATTGATGAACTTTCTTTATCCATAACAAAACAAAATAAAGAATTAAACGAAATCCATCACAGATTTGATTCATTAGAAAATCGTTTGCAACAAAGATCTTCTCATGAACAACGAAATAATTTTCTTTCTATTTCAAGACAAGATTTAAAAATTGAAAAACTAATTGGTCGTGGAGGATTTTCTGATGTTTATCGTGGCATTTGGATTAGTCGAGATCATCACGTAGCAATTAAAGTTTTCCATCTGAATTATTTAACGGATAAAATTCAACAAAATATTCTCAATGAAATTTCTATCATGTATCAAATTCGTTATGATCATTTACTTGGTGTTTTTGGTGCATGTATAGAACCAAATTATCATGCAATTATTATTGAATATATGCCATTAGGATCATTATTTCATCTATTACAAGACAAAGAATATCATTTATTTTGGTCTGATCGTTGGTCAATTTCGCTTCAAATGACCAAAGGTATTAATTATTTACATATGATGTCATTTATACATCAAGATATAAAATCATTAAATATTCTTCTGGATAGAAATTGTTCGGGTTATCTTGTTAAAGTAAGTGATTTTGGTTTAGCAAAAATGCAAGAAGAAATTCAAAGAGAAAATAATCGAAAACCAACTATAGCAGGAACATTAAGATGGAAAGCACCAGAATTATTTCGATTAAGTCCGCCCTCATTTGCAAGTGATGTTTATAGTTTAGGAATTGTTTTTTGGGAACTAGCTACTAGATGTATACCTTATAATCAATGGAATGATGATGATATTATTCGAAATATTATGAATGGATCTCGAGAAGAAATTCCTTCAAATGTGCCAGAAAGATTTGCATCAATTATTACAAATGCATGGCATCAACAATCAGACAAACGACCAACATGTCAACAGTTAATTCAAGATATTAAAATTGCTTCTACTTCGAATGATACAGATATCAATCAATCCACAATTTGTACAAGGTATATGAATAAGATTTCCTTTTTTTTTTTATTCAGTAGGAATTCTCTCCTCTTATGAGAGCTTCTAGAAAACTTTGAATTGTTCGAATCGAATAGATCTTGATAAAAGAGAATTTCTTACAATCTATCAAACATTCTAGCAATATGATATCTAGAAAGACTTGTAGAAAACTTGAATTTTTCATTCATGTAGGAAAGGTGATGAGATTATCTATGAACATCAACATTCAACCAAATCTCAGATATTGTCAGACATCAATCCAATGTCTGATAATGTAAATGAATTCCATGATAACTCACCGTTCGTTACTCCCCCAACAATACTGGCTGATGAATCAACAATCGAAAAAGTAATAGATTCCTATGAACTTCATACAACTGTCCAATTATCTGAACGACAATTGACTGATCAAGATATGAATGTTGTAGTCAAGTTAGCTATCGTAAACAAACAATGTCGTGCACTGATGTTGTATTCAAATCATATCACATTGAATGGTACAATGATTTTAGGTGATGCATTACATGGCAATTTGACGTTAGAAGAATTATATATTTTATCCAATCAGTTATCTGATTTAAGTGTATATTATTTGACTCAGTCACTTGCATTTACTAATTCCAGTCTAAAGAAATTAGATTTGGCTGATAATCAAATTACCGATGAAGGTGTTCAATATCTAACTGATGTATTAACAACAAATAAAACATTGACTCATTTATGGTTAGATAACAATGAAATAAGTAATAGAGGAATACAATTATTGACTGATGTACTTATTAAAAACAATACAACTCTATCTAATTTACATGTTAGAACAAATAAATTGATCGATGATTCCAGTATTCCATTTCTGATGGATATGTTCGAACGTAATCATTCATTAAAAACCCTGTCGATATCGAATTGTGCTCTATCTGAAACAGGTGAAACCGTACTAAAAGAAGCAATATCAACAAAACAAGAATTTACCTTAGATATTTGACATAAATGACCTTTTAATTGTATAGAATTTTATTGATAGCCGCATGAATAAAAAAAAAACCATTTGTATAATTATCATCAAGGACATATGTCTCATCTATTTAAAGAAACTCAACTCTTACTTTTCTCAAAAATTAGGGTATGGGTATTTGGGTGTGGGATTGGTGAAGATCCACACCCAAATATATGACAGTGTACTATATTACTATTGTAGTATGATAAATATGTCGACATTTGTTGTCCACAATCCTTGTATCGGCACTGTGCACTCGGCATACTTCTATCGACGTTGTCATTGTGGACGTTCCTACGTGCCGATGTTTTCGTTGTTGACATTTCGACATCGCGTTGACAGCCAAACTCTACCAACGTGGTGATATCAATAAATTCACAAAAAACGTCGTCTACTTACGTGTCTCTAGAAAATCTGTCATTATTTTATGTGATGAAATAAAGAGAACAGAAAAAGTATTTTATTCTTCAAAGTGCTCGCATTGCACAATGTCTACCTTAAACATCTTAAGAAGCGGTAAAAGACGACTTTACATGCCGCTGTGATCGAAAGATAGAGGCGCGCTATTATATGTCTATCAATTTCATGATTGCATGCTACAGTTTGCTGGTACGAAGATACGGTGTTCTCTTTGACCGACGTCAATGTGAGGTTCGAATCCTCGCTAGCGATATTTTCTTCTTTTTTGTTGAAGATTATTCATAATTTGTAGTCTGTTACCAACAAGTCCTGTTTTAGGGTGTGTGGGAGCGTGTATCAAGGGTACTTCCCCTCTTTTTTCTGGACTGTTTCTCGTTCTCGAAGGCGATGCGACCGATCATGCTGAAATTTTTACTGCAGATATAGCACAAAAAATAATGAGAGACGGATTCGAGGAAAAACCATGTGAATCGCTTTTTTTTGAGGATTTTCTGCAAAATCTTGATTTCCTATAGCACTGCATCGTAGTCCATTATGATCCCCTGAAATTTTATCCAATTGAACTAAAATATTTTTCTAAGATACTAAGACTATTCCTCAGAGGTAAGATTAGTCTTTTTCAAAAAATCTCATTTTCTGTTTATTTTTTTAATGAATACAGGAAGATCCTGCGGCAAGATCAGAGCTCTGCATTTCGAGACCCTATAATTCCGAATGAAATAGTTAGAAACAAAAACGCTCGATTTTATCTCTGGAGAATACTATCAAGTATCAATGGTGACAGCTCCAGATCAGTCACACGAACTTAAAGGGAAGTCACGAGAGGCTATCATGTCGTTTATTGTGTGAAAAGTCGATTTTGAGAAAAATACAACACCATGAACGGTGCAACGTCAAGGTTTTTCGGGAAGCAATAACTTCTTATCGCTTCTCTAAATTTTCCTAGAACAAGCAACTGTACATATTATTTTGCCAGTGTGTCGCTCAAATCTATATAAGTAGTAAAGTTACACTTCAATTATCTATAAAATGCAGGTAGTTAGGGGAAGCAATAACTTTTTATGGCTACCCCAAAGTTTTTTTAGTGGAGGCAATTGCTTCCCCTCGCTGCTATGGCGTATCGCCTATGTGCAACACAAGTTTGGAGAGTGTGTCTCAGAGAAAAAAAATTCATCTAAATTTCATTTTTTAAAAACTTGAGGGCGTGGGTGGGGGTCAAGGAGTTTTCGCTTGACATTTTGAGCACTGCCTAGCGAAAATATTTCCTGATGGATTTTAAATTTTAATATGGTCATTCGATAGAAAAAATTATTCGCTATCGATCTGCACAAGATCCAGCATTGTAGCTTGTTCTGATCAGGAGCTAGGAGTATTTTCCTGAGAGCCTCGATTTCGACTAGTTGACCTTGGATCAGTTCAAAGAACCCTTGAAACATAGGTAATCGATCATACTGAGTTGAATGGTAATGTTTATTTTCTGTTTTGAAGCGAATTAATCGCTAAATTAAAATTTTTTGAAATATCGACTCAATACGCCGTATGGAGCTACATAGCGTCTCAGTATTAGAATTTCAAAAACAAATTTAATTTAGCGATTAATTCGCTTCGAAACGAAAAACAAACATTACCACTCAACTCAGAATGGTCGATTACGTATGTTTCAAGGGTTCTTTGAACTGATCCAAGATCAACTAGTCGAAATCGAGGCTCTCAGAAAAATACTCCTAGCTCCTGATCAGAACAAGCTACAATGCTGAATCTTGTGCAGATCGATAGCGAATAATTTTTTCTATCGAATGATCATATTAAAATTTAAAATCCATCGAGAAATATTTTCCCTAGGCAGTACTCAAAATGTTAAAGAGTTAACTTGAGAAGACAGTGAGATCTTTTTCATATAATCAAATGAAAATCAGTTAATGCAGTAAAAGACGAAGTATGTGAAATATTTTATTTCAATAAAATACAACAAAAATATGTATTAATATATGTGTATGTGTATGTATATGTAATATGTAGAATTTTCGATCTGTATTCAGTTGGACACAAGCTGGCAGGTAGATCATCATCAGTACTCATTTTGAAGTTAATTTCAATCATGATTAACCTAAAACATTGTAAGATAAGCATTGAGATTAAATAAATCATAATAATTAAATATATCATAACCATGGAGTGGCAAATCTCAAACTGTTACCAGTTTTGAAGAACTGAGTATCAAAATTTTCCAAATTTCAAACTGTTAAAACTTTCAAAACTTGAAATTCTAATAAACTATTTAGTAATGTTGAGATATTGGAAAATTGTTGATGTTATAGGAAAAGCAGCACCATTCTTCTCAAATTGATTCATAATATTAGATATCAGATATCAGATATCAGATATCAGATATCAGATATCAGATATTTAGTCATATATAGCACTAAACGA